ATAAACCAGTAACAGCTCTCATGTTAGCTGCATGCTTTGCTAAGACTTAACTGTAAATCAAAAACCTACTCAGGTACTAGAATAGGAGTACAGACTTGGGCGTTTATAGTAATGCAACCATATTAGAATAAATGTGCACCCCCAAAATTTTCCATACAGCTAAATCCTTTTGCATAGGCACTCAGGGTAGAGCCAAGAAGAATGATAAAGGTTAATCATTACAAATCCTAAGTTTTAGGTGCACTACCATCTATGACAATTTTTCTCCCTTAGTTTGCAACATCCCTATACCCAGCAGATCAAGTGATACCATGGGGAAAAGCACCTAGCTCCAAATGCAGGGAAGAACCTAATCACGCTGGGAATTATGTCAGGCTGCTAGCATAGCACCGTGCCCTAATGTATATACCTGCCTCTCAGTCAGGCTAATGAGCTCAGGCACAACATGGGGTCACTGTGAACTAGACCTGGTTTGTGTCTTGCCGGCTCAACATGTGAGCAAGGCACAGCACCGCTGTGTCCGTGGCTGTCCTCACAGACACAGTTACGGGCACAGGGGACTTCAGCAGCTCCAGGGCAAAAATCTAAGCAGGTGCTCTAGAGTACTGCAGGTTGAGCTTAGAAGACATCATTTGGCTCCTCTGGCTATAATCACAGTCAGCCTAGAGCCTTGTGTGCACAAGGAAGTTATTATGAAGTAAACCAAGGTGACAGCAGAAAACTGGAAGAGCTGTTCTGCACTGACCTCAGCTGCAGATCTTCCATTCTGGGATACAAATGCAACCTCACCACTCAGGCCAATCCCTGTCCAAAGAAAGCTCACTCGAAGGAGCTAGGAAAACTGAGTTCAAATCCGTGAAAACAGTCAGAGTAACTGTGATTGCATTGTAAGCTTATTCCACAGTACTTCTCCATATTGAAAGATGAATGTAGTCTTAATTCACTGCAACAATACTGAATGAAGTGTATGCTGCAGCATCTTGTTAAATGGTCAAACAATGCATGACTTTATATCCTGTCAGCCCTGTCAATGTCAGGGTTGGGTTTTTTTAACTACATTCATCAAAGGCAGCATGGGAGGGTCTTCCCAAGCCAGGGTTTGGGACTGTGGCCCTCATCTCACTGCAAGAGAGAGAGACTTTAGCTCTTTAGACCCATCTCTTCTAAAGTATTTAGGCAATTAACACTTACATATGCTTAGATTGTTTAGAAAATTGGTTTGAGGCCAAATTTACAAAGATATTACAAGCAAGCATCTAGCTTCTATTCCATTTCCTTGGGAGTCTGATGAATAAATACCTTTGGGAACTTGGGCCTCAGGTGTTTTTTTGTGAATGTTTTCATTGTGCCTGATCTAACCTTCAGTTACTCCTCAAAGTTAAGAAAATTAAAATTCTAAATGCTACTTAAGTGTCACCTGGACATCATCAGTATTATTAAGCTGATTTGAGGCAGCGGATGTACTGGAAACCTAACCATAAAGACAGAGGTAGAAAAGAGGAGTATGTTGTCTCAACATTTCTCTGACAGTACAGGATTGTTTCATGTGCCATACTTCCCGCAATGTGATGGAACACAGTTAAACTATTAATTAATTCCAGATAATTCCTAACATTCTTTATTACTTAAATTGTGTAGTCCAAGAGGTTACATAAAAAAAAAAAAATATCAAACTGCTCTATCAATAAACTAAGATTTACAGTGTGTCCAGAATGAAACCTTGTGTTGCACTGAACAGAAGTATGATGTGCAGCAGCTGAGAGACTGAGGGAAGGGTTTCCCTCTGGGGACACAGGGGCCTTCCCATCTCTGCTGCTCTCTACTGCATTTCTGCTAGCATTCAGAGCTGACTGGAGCTGCCTTAGGTTGCCAATAACACTGGATTTTATAGTGGTGATTATTGTAACAATGCACTTGCAGGAAATTTTCAGGACTTAAATAGTTTCTGCAGAAATACTTTACTCACTATTACCTCTCACCCAGGCTCCGAAATAAAATGAGGCTTATAGGTCGGTTCTCTCTTGGCACAACAATGTTGCCCCGGAGCAGCGAGCTGACTGCAGCAAAAACTGTCCATGAATTTCTTGGGGTGCAGCACGAAGAGGAAAAATAATGCGGAAATTGGGGAAGACGCACACAGATACAAAATGATGATGTTGCCTGAAATTTTGTAGAAAAACGTTTGAAAGGAAACAATCAGGGAGAGCGGGGTGCTGGCCAGCCAGATGCAGGATGCGTCACCTCTCAGAGACCTAGCTGATCCTCGGAGCTGAAAACACCTTTTGGAAACCTTCGCCGAAGACTGGAAAGCAAAACACATAATGGCGATGCCGAGCAGCTCCCACCATCCTCTTCGCATTAAACCTGTTCAAAAAATCAAGAGGAGGCAGGCCTCGGGTCTGAAGGGGAAACGCCCGCTGCTCCTTTCACTCAGCATCTCTCCCCCCGCCCCCCTCAGCCCCTCTCCTGCCCGCTCCCCCCTCCC